TTGCCAGTCAGCATCATGATTTACATGATTTTCTACAAATGTAACAATATGACGATGTAACCGCTCCATGAATTCAGTACCTAAAAATAAAAAGTAAAAAATCGTAATCCCAATTCTAATGTATACCAATGCCTATTTTGTGAAATTTAAGTTCAGAACGACAAATCAGTGTGACATCTAATTAAGCAGGATTTATTGTCCAAGGATTTATATGTACAACAATGCAGTATAATCTAACATCAAACAATAAAGCTCTTATTTTTAAATGTATGATCCAACTATGTAGACAAGATATCCCTGTTCTTTTGCCAGTAACTGAGGAAGATGCATTAAAAAAGACTTCCATGATTCGGGTAAAAATTATGACCTTCCACGCAAAAACTAAGACTTTGTGATAATTGATGTACTGACGTCTTCCTTAACGTAATTTGAAAACGTTCGTTCCAAATCACTGGGTAGACGTTTTTAAGTAATTATGTCTCACAAAAACATTTCATCACCAAATTATCGTCACTGATAAAAAATAAAGAAATAGTTTGTTTCGATTATGTATATGATTTAGTCATTACGAAATCAAAGGTTTGAACTTCTTCATTAGCCACGGTCACATCCAGATTTCTTCAGTGAATATAATTTATATTGATTTCAAAGTAAAACAACATCAGTCAACTGTTTCCTCGCAAACTCCCACGCTGCGAACATTGGATAACAATAAAAAGCAGTCAAACATTTTCAATTTCACCAATGTCAGGTCCAAAACACAAAAATTTACATTTTTCTTACACACAACAAAGTGGTAGGTATTTAACAAGTAATAGGCTGTATTTGCATGGGTGGTTTCCACGTAATTATCAAATGCGATTGATTGGAATTGAAAATAATTAACTCGATGTTTTCAGAACTGACAAACAGTTGATAGACGTTCGAAGTCCTAAATTCACTGGACGTCCACTGACCTCTGGATATCATATGTTAACAGAGCATATTGTACATAACTTTAGATAATATTTGAGGTTGCTAAACAAGTTTCATTTTGTCACAAGAATAAATAGAATACGAATGTGATTTTGTAATCAGCACTTCGACACTTTATTATTGTTCGGGACTAATAGTGAGAGTGACAAAATAAGAGACATAATCTCATTAGCACTTATCGCACTGCACAATCCTACGTTTTCAATTGATCAGCTTTTTACCCAACAAACTAGACATCTACATCACAAATCAACACCTCTAATTTGTAATTCTGGAAACAAAAAGTGAGAAACATCTACCGGACACGTCATTATCAAGTTTATGTCAGTGTTTGCTCTCCAGTGTTAGTGTTCAGCATATGTGCACGAAAGTATTCATTTTACATTTCTCCACTAAAAATGCTAGTAATTTATTGACTCACTTATCTTCAGTCCGATGTTTTATAGTTTAAGTCTGTAAGAGGATCAAAACTAGCAGTTTAAGGTCTTATGTGATACTCTTCATCTTTTAAATTATAAATATCTTGTCTTTTATTTACACTATCTCCGCTTTCTTATTTGTTAACTGTTGTCAGCATAATTATGATATTAACTCTGTAAGGTGCTGAACTGATGGTACGTACGTAAGTACATCACTGACATTAGGACAAATACAACCTTCATTTTTTTCTATAATGACAATATAATACAGTTGGTTGGCGATCAGAAACGAACATCTGGTTCTTTAGTTTCGCTTACAAAAATCGTTGATACAGCTTAAATAATACTAATTTAGATGTTTCCCTTACCTATAAGGAATAAACATGAATATTAAACTAAAACATAAACTATCGGCAATTCAGTAATGATACTAACATTTACTAATATTCCGACAAATGGATGACTCAAGAATATCACGACTTAGTTAACGTGGTCTGCAAAACATAACAGCAAAGTTAATAGTAAACGGTAAAATGTCACTCCCGCCATAAATTAAACATAAATCTTCAGCCAACGTTCTGATAAAGTCGTTGTGAGACTTAAATATACTTTTATTTATTTTTACACAACAACTTACTGAAAGTGATCCAATTACAAAATTACATACCTGGAGAAATCACACACGGGTCGAATGAGTGGGTCTCAGGTGAACTATCTTTTAAATTCTCTTTGGCAATACGAGCCTCTAAAGCAGATCTGTAAAATTGAAATGCAATTATAAATATTTATCAAAGAAACATAATGTCAATACATTCAAATGAATACTTACTGGAAACGGCGAGCACGTTGCTGCGTCATTTTAGCTCTAGGTGCAACACCATCCACGGCCAAAAAGAAAGTCTTACGTGGCTTAATGAGGTTGAACAAGAACTGAAAAAGCAGTTTACTAGATGCACGCCAACTTTACTTGAATATATAGACAAATATTTCGGAATATAATCTCTTCCGAAAAGATTATTTTACCACCTTCTGGGTGTGAACAAGTGTGAAGTATACCGTTCATGTCCAAATAAAAGTGATCGATAACAGGGATCTTTAAGAATAGAGGATAATACACCCATTAAGAAAATATACGTAATAAACGGTAATATGAGCATAAAATGTATAACCATGATGCTCCATGTGATGAAACAACGTAAACCATTAGCTCGTTATGGACGGACTAATTTGTTTCCCAATAATCCATGTGACAAATATTGTTGATAATAAATGTTGTCACTGTCCATAGAAAACTGTTGACCAACTTACGACCACTCCAGAAAAAGGAATTGAATCCACGCTTTACCAAGAAGAATCATAAGTAGCATTCTATCAAACAGATTATTGAGAGAATGACTCACATAAATCGACCTTGAGGATTGTATGTATTCCACCGCTTTCAATTTCCAGGATGCTAACAAATCTCTGTAACAGTCTAGAACCGTGTTTTTTGGCTAACAAACAACCTTACTGAGAAGTTAAGGCATGTTGCCCAAATGCCCGAAGTGAAGTTGAAAACTTAATTTATTCGGTCTCGAGAAATGGATGTCCCCTCTGACGCTCCTAGAGTGGGTGAAATAACAAATGAGACTTATCAATTTTCTTAAAACGTATCCGAATTGCTTTGTTTAATTGGACTGTTGATTTAGTTGAAGTGATGTCAATGTATAGCAAGTAACTTTAGTTACAAGCTCCTGGAGGACCAACTAGAAAGTCTCTGCCTTCTTGTGCCCGATGGGTGGCGGCTTGATATTTATAACAAATGCTGCAAGCACGTTTGTCCACAAAGAATTAAATTTTCACTAAACGACTCAATTTCTACCTAAAATCCCACATTCAACCTCAAGGCTGTCCACCTGATGAATCCATCATATACCACCAGTGGTTTGAATAATGTATAATTTGGCACCTTCGTTACTAACTAAACAGGAGCTAATTATTAGTAGTTTCTTAGCTTAACCATTCCCAGGTCAACTTTAAAATACAGTATTTTTAGTTCTGATAAAATACACTTACCTCACATGGGCATTTTTATCGCTATAATTAACTCAGCGCTGTATGTTCGGAAATCTAAAGAAGTCTGATAAACTCGTAAATTGAGGCTGACATGGTATGGCAGTGTAGTCTACAGTAAATGCTAGTTACAATAAAATTTAATGTATGAGGCTTTGTTGTAGCGTCAATATTTTAAGAAATATAATAGAAAACAAATTCCTAGATAGTACCAACCTCTCCTGGCCGCAAAATCTGGTTGATGCAAGGGTATCGAGCACTAATCCATCTAAAGAACTTTGGAACACCCATCCCACCTCAAGGCCCGGACTTTTCGATTTTGACGCCTTAGGTCAATACCTCATCACACCATACTGTAAAACAGATTCTGCCTACCTGCTTCTTATGAAAGCTGTCAAGTCGACAATACAGACGAAACAACAGAAGGTTTGAAATACATGATATTTTGCTGTTAACATCATAACTTGATGATGAATAACAAAATGGAATGGAGAATCTCAGCGTTAACTTTATTATTATCCATTGTAGCGGTAAGTAAACCAACAAAACAAATAGTTCTGTAAGTCCTTGACGTTTCTTCTGACCTCACTAATCTCACTGGATGTGTCTTGGCTGAAGGTGCTCTGTCAGGCATCAGCGCCGGATCACAGATAGGTACTCCGTGCTATATAGCGTGGATGCATATGCATCCTTTGTAACAACTGGCCAGCTTAAATCAAACGCTTCTCAACATATCGTTGACTTCACGAACATATTTTCGAACTCATTTATCCCTGACCTAAGGTTTGACTGGGTTGATATCTTCCAATCATGAGGGTCTTACTGACAAACGCGTTGTCAAACCCTGAATGTCCGTGATATCCTTGGTGGCGAACTCGATTCGGTTCGATGCACCAAACAATAAACTGTCTTTTCTTTGTGGTTACACTATATCTATTTTTTGCATACTATGATAGAGAGTTTTGTGTTCTCAGAGCTTTTTTACCCATTTATAAATTTGATCCACATGATGACGAAATAGACACCCAAACTGCTAAACATTAAGACTCTCACACTACCCACCTTCCACTTCATGCCATTCTGGATTGAAAATATCGAATCCTGGTTCTGATACTCAGAAGCCGACTTCCACGAGCACGGAGTGACAGATCAACTTGCATAATTTCTGGCAAAAGTGAAGGCACTGCCGCGCGATTTCAAGGGTAACGTTACGCCTGGCTCGTTTTTCTGGTAATGCTTCCAAACCCTGCGACACCAAAGAAGTTTATCTCTGCACGTGGAAAAGTAACCGACCAAAATTGGTTGAACTAGATTTTCCACAACATCGAATTGAAACACAGCTTAGTAGTAAAAATCTTGCTACGTATGCGCGAGGTCAATGGCTAACCGTTGTTGGGTTGAGTTATGGATCAATTTAGTAGAGGAAGTACAATGAAATATGAGATTATGAAAATTAAGTCATTAGGAATTTTTAAACAGATGAACCTACTAGTGGATTCCCGCTGAGATCAATGCCTGATACCAATCCATTAGAATAGTATTCCTTTGCTAACTCTAAAGTGAGTAACGCTTCATCAAGACTTTTAGACCTGTCTATAGATAGTATTAATGTCACATATATTTTATTATCAAGTACACTCGGTGCATTCTGTATTCCTCTGATTACCGCATTCAAATAAGAACGATGAGTTGGAATTGGTCGTAACGTAGTCCTCAATTCCAAAAGAATGACGTTTTCTTGATGAAATTCTTCAATAACGGAAGTTGTAGCCTACAATTTAGTGTAGACGTGTAGCAAGTGAAACGAATAATAATTATTGTAAAACCCATATATTTTTATATGGAAATTCATGTCACACCAACAACATGTACAAACAAACGCTTTTAAGGGTCAGGAACACAAAAACAATGCAAAAAAACAAAGTTAATGTTAGGAAAGATTAATTTGGTGGCTAGAGAACTTAATATTTGAACAGAACCTGGCTAATGCCATTTAACCTAATTTTCAGGAAAAAGACTTTTACACTCTGAAACAATTTCAACTGAAGAGTCATATAGATAATTTTGATGTGTCATTTTGTGGTACTTCAAATACAAATCCTGTTGAGATGTTTTTCTGTACATTTTCTTCGCAGTGAAAAACCATACATCTGCATCATAATGTTTCACAAACTCCTTGATTATACTCCACACTATAAAGATCTAAGTTATCAGTCAAATTAAAATCAATTACATGAAATGAACTTCAGGAACTAAACGAGAATTTTTCTCGATTAAAATAAAACTACGAAAGAAATAACTTGACATTCGGATATATATATATATATATATATATATATATATATATATATCGAAGGCTAATGTAGAATAAGATCCATAACCTGACTACACTGAGGGAAATCAGCAGAGCTAAGAGGTGTAGTACATCCATCGGTCATATAATAACCCATATTAACTATGAGAAGGCAATATAGTTAGATACTCTCTCAACAAGCCTCTCTTGATATACTCCACTACAGTCACCAGTACAATTTCATCCACAAAAATATTACCATCGAACAACTAGTGTTGAAGACGGATGAAAGAAAGCCGGGGCGGCCAGACTAAAACGTGGTATCAGTCCATAAAGTCACTAACTTCCGGTCTAAGCCATGTTGGTAGACGCAGACTACTTGGTTGGGGTCTGCGCGACTATCTTAACCAATGGTTGGAGACTGTGTGACAGAACCGATCACAACGGTGTAGGTGTATAAACTCTCTGTCCTGCCTTGAACCGTGAGATTAAAATTACTTTATATCTCCCTTTCTATGAACTAATTCACTCTGCCTGTATCATATCCTTATATGCAATCCTTCTTTACATATTACTGCCATCGAAGAAACTACTGTGAATTTGGTGTTTGTTTTGTTGTGCTGATGAGGTGTAGCAACTTGGACCGTTGTATATATGTACCTGGTCCTACGTTGTAACAGACTGACTGGCATGTTTATCAAAGGGTAAATAAACTATTATATCAAAAATGCATACTCTCTCCAAAATCTCTGGTGTTTCAATTAATTTGTGGATTGTTCGGAAAGCATCAAAACACCTACATACATAATTTTAAAGGTAAGTAAAACTCCATAATTACCTATTCATATCCCCGTTCCATGTTTCAAAATCAAAACTTGGATTAATGTTCTGAACATCACGGTTGGTAATTGATTCACGCTTCAAAAACGCCGAACTAATACTCCCAGAAAGGTGGGCATGCAACTCCTAATCATTAATATATGTGTAATCAAATCTACATACAATTTTCGGTAAATTGTGGTAAAAACTGTTCATGCCGATTTTTTACGTCCACTAAATGCTTTGTGATCACTGTTGGCTGAGAAACATGAAACGATAACTGGAGATGAGTAAGAGTTCGTGACTAACAGAAAATTAAATGTCCAGATCAGCTATTTTTCATAGAATCAAGGAGAGCGAGAGCTCTGAACCTAAAGCTCGTTTTGAGCATGACATTGTACTGATTAGGCAGCTGATAATCAACTCATGCCTCAAAATATGACCGGGGTCACCTTGCTAAAGGTGTACCGACTAGGGAATCTAGCGGACTCGAAACCAAATAATTCCAGACTGCTTAAAGTAGTATTCGGCTCTTCGAACGAACGTGACCTAATTTTACAAAATGGACACAAATTAAAGGGTTCAGGAGTCTTTATCCGAAAGGACCTACCGTTGGCAGACCGTGTTAAAAGACGGGAAGCCGAGAAAGAACTACAACTTAGGTTAGACGCTGGCGAAAAGGACCTGAAAATTGTAAATTTTCGGGTTGTAAGACTTCGACAGAGAATGATGCCGAAGGCACTCTGGGTGGAGCACGAAGGCACTTAAACAGGCTTCGGATCTGTTACACCAATGCACGAAGCTTACTTAATAAGCGATCGGAACTAGGTGTACAGATTGACTCTACAAAGCCAGACATAATCGCAGTGACAGAAACCTGGCTGACACAGGCTATAGATAGTATGGAACTTGATTTCGAGGGTTTTACGTTAGTAAGGGCCGACAGAACACAAAAGCGCAAAGGAGGGGGAGTAGCTCTATTCATTAGGAATGCTATCCCATTTGCCATTATCGATAGTGTATCCCATGAGAGTGGGACGTGTGAATTAGTTAGTCTTCGCCTAAAATGCAAAGGACAAGAGCTGCTGATTGGTTTGGTCTATCGCAGTCCAAGCTGTGAGGCAAATGAGATCCTGTTAAGCAGTCTCAATACTTGGTCCCAAAGTGGTCGATGTCTAATCCTAGGGGACTTCAATGCACCTATAGTAGACTGGGAAAATCTGCGAACTAAATCGTCGGAGAATTCTTTCGAGCAGGAACTAGTTGATGGGGTTATCACATGTGCTCTAGTGCAACATGTGAAAGAAGCGACAAGGTACGACCCGGACACTGAATCATCCTTATTAGATCTTATGCTGACCCACTATGAGGATGATGTTGCGAACCTCCATCATATGCCACCCCTAGGTAAAAGTGACCACGCAGTTTTAACTTTCGACTTCCATATAACTGCCGGTCACCGGATCCTCTCGGAGAAGCAGCACGGCTTCAGAATAGGTTATTCTTGTCTCACTAACTTGTTAGTGGCTTGTGAAAGCTGGTGCGCTCTTAAGGATCAAAAGCTACCTGTAGACGTCGCCTTCATTGATTTCAGTAAAGCTTTTGACAAGGTTCCGCACAACCGGCTGTTATATAAGTTAAGAAAAGTCGGGATTGGAGGCAATTTATTGATGTGGATAAAAGACTTCTTAGTTGGGCGTCAACAAAGAGTAAGGGTGAACTCAAAGTTATCTAGCTGGGAAACTGTGCTTAGTGGAGTGCCCCAGGGTACAGTTTTGGGGCCAGTGCTATTCCTCTTGTATATAAATGACCTTCCTTGTCTCCTATCATCATCGGTCTTGCTGTTTGCTGACGATGTCAAGATATGGAAAACGATACGACGTAAGAGTGATAGCTTAGAACTTCAAAATGACCTGAAGAAGTTATCTGAATGGTCTCAAACATGGCAGTTGCCAATAAATACTTCCAAGTGTGTTGTGATGCATATTGGTTATCAAGGCAGATACATACACGATGAATAACACTGAGCTACCTGTCGTCCAGACATATAGTGACTTAGGAGTTATCGTTAGCCAAGACTTAAAGACTACTGCACACTGCCGTGCAATAGCCGCCAAAGGTTTTAGAACGTTATGGTCAATACGTAGAGCTTTTAGTCATGTCGACGCTAAAACGTTTTTAACTTTGTATGCAGTGTTCGTACGTCCTAAACTTGAGTACTGCATACAAGCGGCTAGCCCCTGCTTAAAAAAGACAGTGAGCTTCTGGAAAAGGTTCAGAGAACGGCGACTAAGCTGATTCCCGGAATAGCGAAGCTTCCGTATGAATCTCGACTGGCCAAGCTGAACCTTTTCCCGTTGTCATATCGCAGAACTAGAGGCGACTTGATTACAGTCTACAAATTGCTTAGTGATAAATTTGCACCTGATATACCCCATTTTTCTTATCTTCCAAAACAGAGAATTTACGAGGACACTCCAAAAAAGTTCATAAGCCGAGAACAAATTACTTGTCAGCTGACTATCGACTTTCCCATCGAATCAGCAACGAGTGGAATTCACTACCTCAGCACGTGGTTGAGGCTCTATCCGTCGACTCTTTCAAAAGAAAGTTGAATCAACTGAGAGACCACCATTGCCAGGACTAACATAGGCCATCGAGCCTCCTGTCCTTTCCAAACTGTAACTGTAAGATCAATACTACTAAAAGTGCGCTTCAGTTATAAGCAATGTAGATAAATTTCAGGCTTAATTGTGATTAACTCCGAGGCATATCACTTAACATCTTCAACTGTTGGTTTATATCACCAAAAATTCAGTTGTTGAAGTAACCTTTTTCTTTGATCACAGTCGGAAATGACTAAGCCAATGAGATCTCAACCTCGGGGTTGAGTAACAAAAGGATATGGAGCCAGTCCATAGCCACTAATTGCTGGTTGAATATATATATATATATATATATATATATATATATGACAGTAAGACTATAATTTATGGACGACCTTTGAGCGACGCTAAAGTAACCCTGAGAATGTCCATTTAATGATTAGAACCAAATGAGAGTCATAATCCAGTGTGAGGAATTAGAATTGTGATTTGCAGTTCATGGTTTATGTCAGGAATTAGATTTAGGGTTTTCATCACGAACTGACATTAGCTACAACGCCAAAACTGTACTTAGCGGATGAGTGAATTTCGCGCCAAAACCCGAGACCTGTTGTCTTATTCCTCAAATGGTCTGTAGTGGTAAATAAATCCTCACAATAAATAGCTCTGTAAATCCTCGACATTGGAGCTGACCACATTAGTTTCAATGGACTCACTTAGCTGAAGGCGCTCGGTCACGCATCCACACCAGATCACGAGTGGGAACGCTGTGATCAACTTCTCCTGCAACCGCTAGCCAGTTTAGATCAGTCACTTGTCGATATATTGATAGCTTGTCAAGTATATCTTCGGACCCCATCGCTTCTGACCTCTGATTTCACTGGGTGTGCACGTTTTTATTACAGAAGTTGTTACTGGTCAGGGTGTTGTCAAACTCCAAAATACTTGTGTCATCTTTAGTTATGAGCCCGGTGTGATCTGATACACCAACTCGTTGACTGTGATTCTTTCCCATTTCAAAACTTTATATATCATTTCTTTATTCTAATTGTTATTTATTGCTGTCACGTATCCACACCAGATCACGAGTAGGAACGCCGTGCTTAAAAAGCCTTGCAATCGCTAGCTGAATTAGATCGCGCGATCCTCGATATGTTGGTAATCTATCAAATAAATCTTCGGACCTTCTCGCTTCTGTCTTTTGATTTCACTTGGTGGGTACGCTTCATATTAGAAGGTGTTACTGGTTAAAGAGTTGTCACACTCCGAATACCTGTGGCATCTTCACTGTAAACATTCGGAAATTTCAAATCAAACTGACTTCTTAATTTTTCTCAAACACATTCACCATCTGAAAAGCAAAGTAGCGGCCATTCCGAATTACCTAGAAGCGACAACAATCAAGCAGCTACGGATGTTTAACAGCCTGATAAGGTTTTGTTGACAGTTCATACCGGAATGCGTGTCCCTCATAAGGCCTTTATCCGACCAACTTTGTGGAAATGCGAAATCCATCAATTTGTACGACACTTCGAAAAAAGCATTCCTTACATTTAAAGAACTAATCTCACAAGCAACAATGCTCGCACATTAGGACACCAAAGCACCAATTGGCATCATTGTAGACGCATCCAACTCGGCAATCAGAAGAGTCTTACAACATTTGGTAAACAATAGCCGGTAACCTTTAGCATTCTTTTCAAGACACTGAATGGAGGTATAGCCTTTTCGATAGGAAACTCCTAGCCATGAATTGTGCTGTACGGCACTTTCAACACTCGGTTGAAGGCCGAGGATTCACTCTTTTCACCGACCACAAACCTCTTACTTTCTCTTTAAGTTCATTTCCAGATACGTAGTCCTCTCGAGAGTTTCGACAACTGGACTTCCTCCCTCAGTTTGCTTTAAGTACATAACACATTTTTGAAGCAAACAATGTAGTTGCAGATGCCCTATCACGTATAACCTCCATGGACAGTTATGAGGGATCGACCAACTTAAACTCGCACAGCTTCAAGGAGAAGACACTGATTTTCAGTACGAGTTATCTTCAACAACTCTAAACCTGCCTAGTAAAGAGATAGGAATAAGTAAGGAAAGTTTACTGAGTGGGATCGTCCAATCGTGCCAAAACATTATCGATGCGACGTTTTCAATAAGTTTCACAAGCTTTCACATCCAGGTGTTCGTGCATTTATCAAGCTTGTACTAGAACGTTTTTGACGACCTGGTATGAATAAACACGCAAAGAAGTGGGCACGTTTCGATCGTATTCGTTTGAATTGTGTAGGACGTTGACCATATTAAAATTGATTCTCCTATCTCTTTACTTGTATGAACCGTTTCACTCGAGGTCCAGAAGCAGTATCCATCAAGAGTATTACTGCCGAGACTGCCTTCGTCGAACGGCGGGTGGCAAACTTCGGCTCCCCTTCAACTATCATTACAGACTGTGAACGCCAGTTCGAATCTGGACTTTTCCATTGTCTGACTATACTGTTAGGAATAACGCGATTCCTGACGAACACCTACCACCCACAAGCAAACGCTTTGGTAGAACGCTTTCACCGACAGCTTAAAGCTTCACCCTTAGGTGCAAACATTTCACGGTGAACCGACGCTCTTCCACTCGACTTACTTTGTATTCGCAACTCAACTTCCAGGAGAATTCGTGAATTCTTAGTCTTCTTCAATGAATATGGATCTAAACTCCTACACTGTCAGGCTTACAAACGCAATGCGTTCAATTAAACCAGTTTTTACTCGACTTCAATCAACTGATGTTTTCGTTCAACCTGACTCACGATATAGTACACACGATTTATAACGACTCATTTCGACGACATCTCAAAACAGCATACGAAGGACAATTCAAAGCTCTTAAACGTGAATGGAACTAACGGTAGCATGAGCATCGATCGCATCAAAACTGTATATTTAGAACGAAACCCTATTCATGTCGATCTTCTTCCGGCACACTGGAAAGACATGAGTCGTATATTTACGATACCTCATCCGATATCCAACAATCTAAATGATACCTTGGCGGTATCTGACAACTGACTCAAAACAATGCATTCTGGAAGAAGAGTAAGGTTTCCAGAACGCCGAAGCGATTACTGCACCCAAGACACTATATAATGTTTTGTTTAGTCTTGATTTTTCTATTTATGTTAAAAACATGTTTAATATGCTTATATATATATATATATTTACTTCAAGAAAAAACAAATTTTGGTTGTTTGTTCATATGCTCACAGATGTGCGTATACTTTTTTTTCAAAAAAACCCAAGTAACAATTCTGCGAAAATCTTTTTTATGCTGTTGCATGTTTACGAAACACATATATATCTTCCTTTTTCGCCCGTTTTGTGTCATTAAGCACGTGCGAGTTTAATTCGACGTACACTTACGTTTCCTTTCTCTTTCTTTTCCAGGACGTTTGGAGAAGACGAACAAGCAACAAGGTTCACGACGAATCAAGATTTTCATTGCACCTGTTTCTTTATTACCATATTGTACCATATGGCCCCTTATAGTACGGAAAAACGACCAGATGCTGATGAACATAGCAAGCTATCAGAAGAATGTTTACCATCGAATAACTCGTTGGGTTTAACCTTCTGGCTAGCCACGTCTTAGAGTCATAACTACCTCACTACGGGAATGATTTGTACCGGTAAATAAATCAACTTCTCCTGTAACCGTTAGCCAGTTTAAATCAGTCACTTGTCGATATATTGATAGCTTGTCAAGTATATCTTCGGACCCATCGCTTCTGAATTCTGATTTCACTGGTTGTGAACGTTTTGATTACAGAAGTTGTTACTGGTCAAGGTGTTGTCAATCTCCAAATACTCGTTGCATCTTCAGGTTCAAATGGTTCTGGACGGAATAGAAGTAGCTTTCGCTTAACGGGCCTCCGTGTCTAGTAGCAGTGGATCACTTATATCTTCAGCAAGATATTATCCTTGGTCATTATGGATAGGTCAAGTTTCCTTTTAAAGGACTCCTGGGAATTCTCTTGTACTAGCTAAGTCGGCAGTGAATTCGAGCATTTGACAACCCTCAAAGAGTAGAAAGTTTGTCTACAGTCCATTCTGTTATGTTGCATTTCCAGTTTCTGGGTGTTACTCCTTAGGTTTGTGTTGGAACTAAGCTTAAGTGGGTGTTTAAGGTGATGTCCAGAATTATTCAGGATGATGAAAGCCATCAGAAGGTCACCTCTATGACTTCTGTACTCCAATGGATAAGGGTTCAGTGATTGAAGGCGCTCTTCATAAAGTATGAGTTTGAGTTCCCGAACTGATTTCGTGGCTCTCCATAGGATACGTACCAGAGAGTCTTGATTCTTTGGAGTGGGGTAGGAAATACTATGTTTCCGTACTCTAGATGAGGAGGAATAAAACTGTTGAAGATCATGTGGAAAGTTCTTCCGTCAAACTGGCCATGAATCTGCTTCAATATTATCTGTCACAGTTAGCGTAGGACTTCAAATCTTTGGGTACCAACACTCCTAAATCTTTTTCGACTCTGGATACTACTAGAGAGGAGTTTCCTAAGTTGTAACTGTAGTCTGTAACATGTCGCAGATGGAATTATTTACACTTTGAAGTGTTGAAGGTAGGTGCGTTGCCATCTCCCCAACTTTGAAGTAGAGTCAGATCCTTCTAAAGTGCCTGTATATCCTCTTGGTTGCGTATCTCTCCCCAAAGTTTCACGTCATCAGCAAAATGTTATAAGTCTGACGTTACCTGTTGTGGAAGATCAGTCGTATAAACCAAGAAGAGAAGAGGTCCTAGTACTGAGCCCTGTTGGACCCCAATAAGACATTCCATAGGCTGAGATAAAGTGAAGGTAACCCTGACCTTAAAATGTCGATTTTTCATATATGAAATCAGCCAATCAATTAGAGGTGGTCTGATACTCAGTCGTTTGAGCTTATTGATAGGACATATTTGGTTGACCCTATCAGAAGCTTTCGAGGAGTCAAGGTAAATGACGTCAGCCTTCCCCTTGCGGTTAGGAATTGTCGTCCATCTGTCCACTACAGTCAGCAGAACAATTATACAAGAATGACACTTCCTGATGCCGTGATGTTGGTGTGAAAAGACGTTAGAGGGTAATAAGCAGTCGTGTATACCGTCGTATATCAGGGACTCCATGATTTTTGAAGGTATTGAGAGCAAGGCCACCGGCCGGAAGCTTGAACTTTCGCTGCGTCGACTTCCTTTGAAAATTGGTGTGATGTGAACCAGCTTCCAATTTTCCGGTAGTTTTCCTCGGCTTAGCGAGTGTGAGAACATCACGCTAAGCGGTGTTGCCAGGATTTAAACTGCTTCTCTCAGTATAGCAGAATGAACCATATCTGAGCCGGAAAAAGTGTCTTTTCTTGAGTGCTGCAGTTTTCGGAACACCAGGTCAGCGCTCGGGTTCACTTCGGAAAGTCATGTGCAGTTGCACATGAAATTGTCATCAGTATAGTTGATGTGGGTTGGCTGAAGTGTATGTGCGTACTGTTCAGCCATAAGATTAGTGATGCCGCCATTGTTGTTGGTCGGGCCTAGCAGTTAAGAAACTCCAGGTTTGGCTTGACGAAGAGAGACTGC